GATATAGAAAAGGAATAGAATAGTTTGGGCTTCATTCTTCATTAATAAATGAAATATCATAGATTAATCAAAATTTTTAAAATTAAAAAAATTGAGTTCTCTTACTTATAAGTAACCACGGTTGGTTATACGAATACAACCAACCAATAATGACCAAATCCATGTAATTACAGAGACGAAAACTGACAAAAGCTACACACGTATATTGACAAATATATTTTCGTTATGGAATTATCTGTTAGAAACTAAAATGATCAGATGAATAATTGGAAAGTGGATTGGAAGGGTGCAAATATTTGTAAGTGATTAGACCGGCAACGAGTGTGTAAGTTGAAAATCGATACATCGTCCTACATATAAATGCAAGAGAGTATGTTCCATGCTGAACTTCTGCGAATTAAAAAATATGTATGACTGAAATTTACTGGGCAATGTACTGAATGGAATTCCAGTGATAATTAGAAAATATATGTTTAAACTAGCGTTCAGTTGAGTGGTTTCTTTACTTTGATAAACTGTTGAGTATCATACTGAGTATCCAAAAGCAAGCAAACAAACAACAGCAACAAACGAAAACAAACAACAGTGAAAAATACAGCTGTAGCTAAAGTGAAGATTCAGCTACACAATGGAATTCCTGAATCTAGTAAGCAATCTGAAGATGGTACCGCGTTTTTGTAAGATATTGCTTGTTCCAACAGTAGATTATGGACAAGGGTTCTGGCAAATGCGTTTTGATGTTCGAGATTCAGTGCATTAAGTCACTTTTTCTGTCCTGAAAGTACTGCTGATAGTGATCGCCTTCTTATGAAATGTTCCAGCTGTGGTATATAGTAAAGACTATATTAGTAGGCGCGATCATTTATAATACGATAACTTTTGATTTTAAACATAAACGAACATACAAAGAAGATCCAACTTAACCCTTATTTTTTTTATTTCATGCTATGTATCAATAAAAGCTAAGGCACTTAAATCGGCATTCAGATGGAAATCTCCTCTCACTTGCTTTTTTTACCTAATACGTAACATGTGTGGCACACAAAAGATCCATTTTACTTGCCTAGTGTGAACTTCTGCTGAAGTGAGGTTTAAAAAATATGTCTGCAATCACGATCAATAATTTAGATGAAGAAAATCAGAAGTGAAGTGTAGACAAAGTATTTGTTCTTTCATTAATTATGAATTATCAGACGTTACAGACTACTGGAATTCCATTACTTATCTGTTTGACTTGACTTTCAAGTTCACATTTTCAAATGGTCAATCTATTAGACTCTGATATTTCTAAAATAGCATTATTTTGTTAATTATAATAATTGTGACAGAGAATATTTCTGATGCCAGTAAGATTTTAGACTGACCCACACATGACTGATTTTCCAATAATAAGCAAGAAATATCAAACAAATAAATTGTCTCATTATGACATGACTTAAACAGATCGGTCAATCGCAGAAGTATATCCGAAAATGTCTGGCTTGAATTCCAGGTGCCATGTGTGTTTTGGTTCATATTTTTTTTCCAATTTATTACTTTTCTTGAGACGTAGTTTGATCAATTTCTCATAGTGTATCGTGTTTACCTCCAGTATCTACTTTGAATTTACTCCTCAACTGACAGCTGACTTGTTTTCTTCCAAAGTTACTGTCGATGGTTTCTGACTAATGGATATAGTGTATCCTGCATAAACAGTTGTTATAATCACCTGTACTTCTTTAGTGAGAGTTATGGTTTTTATTCAAATTTCATTTCGGTGCAATATAATTATTTCTGCTATGTTCTTATGGCCCTGGTTATTATATCATGTGATTAATTCTACCACTTGGAGCATCGACTTATAAGACCTCAATACCGTACCAAATCAAGGACGGATAAACTAGCAAGAGCAGCCTAGAGTCAACTCTGATTTCTGATTAGTACTTCTGCCCAGACCTGACTGTTTGAATCCAGAACACATCTTCTACAGTATGAATCATGTATATTACACATACTTGGTTTACATACAAACAAACCAGACCTCAACACAACATAAAATAGAAAATAACTAGTATACAAAATCAAGCCAAAAAGTGGCCGTGAGTGTGAGATACTATAACTAATAAATCAGGTATAACTTAAGAATAGTGGTGGTGTTACACTAGCTGTCTTCACCTGTATTTGCTGTTGTATATGAGATAGCTGAGTTAAGTCATATGGAAAGTCTAAATTATCTAACTAAGAATAAGTTGTCCAGAGTGTTTCACGCTTTCTGTGAGATTTGAGGGTCTCATAATCCAGTCAGCTATTGACAAACAGAGAAAAGACGTGAGTAGACAGTCTTTTGGGATATTAGTCTTCACTTGGAATGCATCAACGAGCTGCTATGGATTCATGAATTCGCAACTCACTCCCTCATTGGGTTCGTATAAAAGCAACGATATTTTGATAAATTGTGTAGATTTTAAGATGATTCTACAAGATTTAAAGTGTATGCGTTTGATAAAAGTAGAAACAAGATCATAAAAGAAATCATAGATTCAATATTTCACATATATGTGAAGGATGTATTATTAAATAATAATAAATATCAGAATAAATATTGCACAAGATTGATTCATTTGTTTTGATAGTGATAATTCAATCAATCTACTTATAACAAAAATAAGCATGCTCAATGAACCGAACAAACCAATATACATAAACAAACACATCGCACATACATACTAGATTGAAATGTTCCGTTACTAAGAAATAAAACATCCAATACCTAGTTCAAATACAAATACTAGTGTTCAGTTTGTAATATAATGGAACATCTTGACTATGTTGTTTAAGTGAACACATCGTTTATTATACCATTAATCAAACTCCTCTACATATCTAGAATGTGCTCACTGAAACAGAAGCAGAAATCTGAAAACTCATATTTAGTACCCAAATACTCATAGCTTCAATACACTTGCAAAATAAATGCCAGTCATACATTCATCACAGTACTATTCATATTTCCCAAGACGATTTTAAACACTCCCATTTAAATGCACACATAAGCAATCTTAGATCTCATCTAACCCACTAGCCTACCTGTCAGTGATTACCGAAATAATCTGAACAGAGTAGCATACGGACCACGTGCAATCGACGGAACAAAGTGAAGCGTAAATTATTGTCTTTTCATAGACACACATACATACATACCTGCATATTAACTTTCATACACATAGATATATATTTACATATGTAGTTAAATGGATTGTTTCGGTTGAACTGGTTGACAACAGGTGTGAGCACGTGTTTGCTCCGAACGTCAACATCCGCGAACGTGGTCGAATGAATGCAGTCAATAACAATTTGACAGCAAACGGCAATAGAAATCTTCATAGTATGTTAAAATACTGTTGTGTGTAATAATGTATGCCTGATCGGTGTTTTTATTTCAGCTCGTCTTAGTTGTACTGGTCGTGTCATTCGAATATCACAACTCAGGTGAGTCTTATCTTACTCGGTCGCGCAACATGAAGTTGCCACTTACTGGTGAGTAATTACAAAAGTATCCCACTTGCTGATTCAGACTTCTGTTAACCACAACAGTGTTGTGTCATGTGTTCAACTGAAGCGAAGTCAACAGGACTGAAATGAATAGTAATGCGGTGTGTTGTCAATTTGTGGAACAACATGTAGTGAAGTGACCAGAGTTGAAGTGGGCTGAATAGAGGTGTAGGCATGTAATTGTTTTGTTTTGCTGTCATATTCCATGTGAATCATATTGTGACGTTGTGTTATTTCGTTTTTAGTGACTGCAGAACCAGCACCAGACAGTCAGGGTGGTTGTTGTTCTGGTGCATGTCCTCAATGCCCTAGATGCTGTGCATGTCGTGGATGCCAAGGTGGAAACTGTTATGGAGGATGCTGCAAGAACTGTTACTGTAATTAACAACACTAACAGCCATATCTATTCAGCATACAATGATGAAAACCCGCTCCCGAGTACCCAGTTTCTAATCTGTCTACGAAATATACAAAACTAACAATGTTCCTTATTGCCATGCCAATTTTCCGTTGGCCTATTTATTGTCCTATTCTCAGTCTGCAACTAGAATTTTCTCAACGCTCTCTCACTATACAGCACCAATCCACACAAATCGCTTCCAAAGCTTAGTTCAACAGATCTAAGTTACCCGTCTATTCGGAAATTTATTTCGGTGTGTAATAAGTGCCATATGAACTGGTTTCCTTTCTGATCAACCAGCGTGTTCATCACTTTTATACTACCGCATATACTACCACATGTATACCTATATTTAGGGCGAGTACCTGAGAATATTTTGTTGATGAAGTGGGATTAGTGACAACGAACTATAACGTAAGTATCATTCAGATTTTCTAGTCACAAAAGTCATCAAGCTGACATGAATACTTATTCTACACTTATTCGTCAAAAATAATTGGAAGACAAATAATAGTTTTAAAGTTTTACATAAACGGGCTCTGAGACGTATACTGGCATGTGGGCATCCGATTTCTGTGCTTTTATTCCACTCAACTTTACCTCTCTCTTTCAGGAATGAAGTACAATTTTATCTTAAAGTGTGGTATACAAGTTTATTGTTTATCAACAAGTATGAGGCTAAAATGTAGTTGGATTTTTACAATATATTATTCCAGTTATGATTCATTATCAGTTTGGTATGATTTTCACAACCTCTATATTTTATTAAATTGAACTTTATTTGAAGGTACAGTGTATTCTAACCTCAATAATCATTAGTTTGACATAATTTTCATATTTTCAGTTATTAAATTTTAATATGACCGAAGGTTTTTGGTTCGAATCCCGCATGTAGGATTGTGGATGAGCACTGTCGAGAAGTCCCATACTAGGAAAAAACGGCCGTCCAATGCTTCCAGGTTTTAAGTGGTGTTATATCTTACATCGATTCATGAATTCAACTATTAAAATTACTACAATCTCCACAAACCCCATTCTGATAATAATTTTATTTAACCATTAAAATATAGAAATATGGAAAATATTCATTTCATAACATTCAATTATGATGGTCACTTAAAATATTGACACTTATCGCAGTATTAATTGACTTTACGCAAGTCACTATAATCAAATAGTAATTCAAATTTTAAGTTATAAGTGAAAACCTTTTTTAAAAGAAGCTCACTAATCTACTTTTAAACAATCCGGTTTAAACAAAGTTTAGTAAGTGATCTTTTCGTGAGTTGAAGGATAATTACATTTGAGCATAATATTATAGACTTATTGCATTATTATTACAAACAAAATTATGAGTGCCAATCATTACAGGTTAGTCACAATTATGATTGCTAGAAATGCTTTAAAAAATGTTTCCAAACTGTATTAATTCGCTTTCATCAAGGTAAAGAATATATTTGATCAAACAGAGCTGAAGTACTTATAAATAAAAACAAGACAGAAGCTTCATGAAAGTATTTATAATAGAGTTTATCACCAAAAATATATATATTTATATATTTTTCAAAATAAGATTTCTGGATGTGATTGTAAACTATATCGGATAGATTTTCTAATAAAAAATATTTGTTAGCTTTCAGTTCGTTAACTGGATATTTCCACCTTCTTAATGATAAACTTTGCTTGTTTTCAGAAGTGGTAGTAGTGACCTTTAAAAGATGAAAAGCAAATATGATGTGTTAAAATGAGTAATTTTCTACAGTTTTTTAGTTACTTGTTAAGATGGAATGTGATAACTTAAATTTCACAAGAACCTTTTTCAATGGGATTATTCAGCAAAAGATTTTCACCGAGTGAAACACATGTATTTTATTCATAGAATCAGATAATGACGTTGATTTCAATATTTCTATGCTCTTATATCTTACCCCTTGAACTATTATTAGTAGCACATAAAAATATAACATCACGAAAACTATATAATGATTATGATATATTGATTCAACTAGACCTTATCATGTTGTATTATATTCGCTAACTGTATGAATAATGCCCTAGGTCATGTTGTTGGCCTGATACACATATCCATAGAAGGCGTGTGATGTAATTATTTTACTGTACAGTATTCCATCCTTCTAACTTTTATGAGTTTGTTGTATTAATTCGAATGTGCTAAGTCTATGTGTGATGTTTTCTCATCCTCACTTAGTCTCTTCAAGATGCTAGTTATTTGTTAGGTCGATTAAAAAAAGGGGGAAATCATATCAATGATTTTTGTTGACACTAAAAAATACTCTAAAACGGAAATTTAAACGCGACTTACTGTGGTGTTTGTATGAACTAATGATTTCTTTGTACTTGATGACTACTTGATTTCAAATTTTAAATACAATACGTTCATTTGTGCTCATCTAGTTCTACTTGCTGTAAATTGCACTATTTCAGGAATGCCTAGTTAGTATAATAATTCAAATACTCCTAATAATCCACCATTCAAATCTCAGTCAGATTGTACTGATTTCTAGCAATAGACTATAAAGTGAGACACATTTTTGTAAATAAGCAGTTGCCTCCCACCTGATATCCCATAAGTTTTCCATTAGAATCAAAAGGCACAAACACAATTGACATTACAAAACATTAATTTGTGTGTGGGGAGGGTATGTAAACCCCACTGCTTAAACAGTTCTTTTTTACAGGTATATATACATGTTTATGCTAAAGCTGAGTTAATATGTACATCGTTACCTAGCCATGATCTCATTAAACTGTAATGTATATTGTTACCGATTTTGTATTATGAAATTCAAATGCAGTAACTAAATGTTTTAAATCATCAAGCCACTGGTGGTCTTAAATAATACTTATTCGCAAAGTCATTACACACATATTTCAACTTGCAATAAATGAATAATGGTTGAACTCTTATAATTAACAAATTATATAGTCTATCAAATAGTTTTATCGAAACACCTCAATTGCAAAAACGATAAACATTACAAACTGAATTGTTAAATTTGACTGCAAAACCTCCAAGATTTATATCATATCAAATATCAGCAATTTTTTTTGAAGAAAATCTAAAACTTCACTTTTTAGCATTTCGATCAACTACAGTGAATCATGTTCACTTGGAGTTAAGATGTGAATTACAAAGAAGGTTTAGTTTTTTTTGTCCCTAAAAGAGATCTCCTTCTACTTCAAAGAGGACGATTTACATTGAGTAATTTATCATTTATATGCTTATTCTGCTTCTCTTTATTCATTCTTCTGGGGTTAAATTTATTAAACAATTGGTGAATATTTAGATAGCGGTAAACGTCATTCGAAAAAGTGAAAAAAGTGGAAAACTAACAAAATTTTGACCACTTCTGACTATACATATACAAATTATAGTTTATCGTAATGACTCACAGATCAATTAAGATTGTTAGAACCAAGACTCCACTAACAACAAGAAATACAATCGGAGGAAATATAGTAACAGTGAGTGCATATACAGCTGGTAAGCTGATAAAACTAATGACGAATCCAATACGAGCAACGAATCCTCCAAATGATTGAATCATTCCTGCGTAAAAGCAAAATTCAATATTTAATATCACAATTTTCGGATTTAGTCTAAGCATAGAACTACAACTCTCAGTCAGAGGTTTATTGTTCATATTAGGAAATCAAAATTAACTTATTAATTGATTTAAAGTGAAAAGCATCTTTGCTAATTTCAACGTATAACTGTAGTACGAATTATACTCTCAGAAAAACGTCTATGAAAATAAAATTTGAATGATGTGAATCAATATTGGAAGAATTTTTAAGAAATATGCTCACACTAAATGATTTTGATGGATACTGCTTAACTTAGCAACTACAATCTACAGTTTTATATACGTAAGGTAGCATTTTGCAAATGAAACCATGTTCATCAAACAATACTAATTGGTATTGTGAGTACAGTTTCCGTTTTGGTTCGAATAAAAATTCAACTACAACATCTCGGAAGCTGTTAAGAATTCGGTCTGAATGCGAATGGAAGTCGACTGAGCAATGTGAATATTTGAATTGATTGCGATAACTTACGTACAAGACAATATTAAATTATTATAATTAAATTAATAATCGCGTAAATTATTCTTGGTGATAAAACTGTCTCCATGTGTTATTCAGGTGGTATCTAAATTGATAAAAATCTTTTATCTATACGATCACTAAAAGTCAAACAGAATATGCAATAGAATACTGTATTATTACAACTAACTATTAGAGGATGAGAGGAAAATTCATCACCGTTTTTGTGCAGGTTTTATAAAGAAATATATGAAAGGCAGTAAATGTAAACCGTACTATCTTTCAAAACTCAAACTGTTGTAACGAGGTAGTTTTGTGCAGATCTGATAAATGTGTATAATGCAAAACAGAATAAAGCCTTCCAGTTTATATAATTTTACTAAAATACTAATTGCAACTTACCTTGATTGTTTGGTGGTGTGCATAGTGCAAACATTGAGCGTGCAACGGGTGAGATGAAACTTTTTGATAGTCGAGGAATAGCAGCTGTTAAAAAAAAGATAGTTGCTAATTCTCATTGAAGATCAAGAAAATCTTTATTGCTGTTAGGTCCTAATACGAAACATTACTGGTCTACGATCCTAACATCCTTAGAGCCAGATGCTTTCAGGTTTCGTAGTGAGAGCTTGACTTCTAGACCACTTAAACGTCATACAATGCCCCACATGTATGACTACAATCGTTTTGCGGCATTACGTGATAATTTTAAATAATTATTTATTTTAGCTATCATGTAACTGAAGAGTAGGCAACCAATTACCAAGTTCTAAAATTATTGTCATCCTTTGATTACTCTGATTTTAGTTAAATGATTGTAAAAATCAGCAAACACTGGCCGGCTGTTTTGTCCCTTTTTTGGGACTCCATTAATCCATAGAATATTGAATTCAAGATTTTTGAAGAGCATTACTATTTTCAAATGAAGTCCGATTTATTCGACTACCATTCCGAAGCTATATATATATAATCTCTCGAAATATATAATGATGTCTTAGTCAAATATTACCAATAATTTGAAGATATCATAAAGTCTGATACAGTGGAGAGAATGTTCAATTAATACTCTTAATTACAATTAATGTTTAAAAAACATTTTTTTTAAAAACAATAAAAAGTTTCCACTTACCCATATAAACAATAGTAGTTGCTGTTTGTTGTGTGAACTGATGTGCAAGACCCATCATTATTTTGTTTATTATCATTAATAATAAAGTACCTGCCAATGTAAAGATCAGTAATCTCATATTCCGTAAAAATACTACTCGTGATTTATCATTCTTATGTTCTTCTTGAGATGTATGATTATCATTTGTTACTAATTTTTGTTTCATACTTTTTCGTTCACGAATTTTAACAACAATAATTGTATAAGTAACCCCCACAACAGATGATATGAAGTCACTGAGACCACTGGAAAAAAAATCAATGAATTCAAAATGGATAAAGTCAAAACATTGTACATGTTAAATTCACTTGGTATCGCTTTGTTTGAATCCTCCCATTGAGGTTTAAAACTGCAATTGATCAGTTTGTTAATGGCATATATGCATACTGTGCGTATCGCCTCGATAGTGCCTTAATTCACAAGCTTTATAGGCAAAGATGGATAATGGCTAGCAGCGGAATCCAGAACGCTTGTTTCGTCCTATTTGGGACTTGTCAGTTGGATGTACCTGCATCACAGTGTTGATGCTCACTCTGAGATTAATTCACCCCACTGCACAGGCAAGTAGTTATCAGAACTCAGTAGCCAAGTGTATGATGTGATGTCGTTTGAGGCGAATGGTACCGGGTTCGAGTCTCAGAATGAACATAAACGCTGAGATGCAGGTACATCCGGCTGACGAGTCCTAAATACGACATAACGCGCATCCTGGATTTCACTGCCAGCCACTATCCAGATTGTACATGTTAATTTAAAAATAATGTGAAAATTTTTATCTACATAAGTTTTTTAAAAAAAAATACATATATACAGTTAATGGATAAACTAATTCCAAATTTGCTTAGTCTTTTTCCAAAAATGAAGGGGATATGATACTGAAATCAATTAATGATCTTATCTATGATCCCGAAAACGGAATCACATTTGATACCTGATACAGCAGATATAAAGATTTATAAAAAAATTGAATTGGCTGTTCTAAACAACGGCACAAGAGTTTGTCCTCTTCTCAGGAAATCAAGAACAAATGGACACGTCAAATGTACAAATTTTATACTACTGAAATAGTCTAGAGATGTTTATTTTCATGACACAGTATCCTTCGAAGTATTTTCAGTGAACAGTCATCTCTATTCAGCATCCATTACATCCCTTTAAAAATATACAAAAACCTATTAATGATTTTCTCACATATACTAATAAAGTGAATTGGACATGAGAATGATTTAATCTGGATTCATTAACTCAAAACCAATTCAAATGTTTAATTTTTGTCTATGGATTGCAGTGATAATCTGATTCTGAAGCCTGTACTCGTACTTCAGCACGCATGGAACAGGATCCATTTATAAACTTCCAAGATGTGATGGCGGAGTGTCATTGCATTCGACAGTTAAAACACGACACAAAACTAGTTAAAAACTGAAAAAATACACATGCAGTGAATGCATTTACTCTGAAATCAAAGCACCAACAAAAAATTCACAGTATGGCTGGTCAGTTGCAAAGGTCGACAGGAGCTTTTTGGTTTTGTGATGTTTGAAATTATGGAAAAAGATGCTCACATAAAACTAATAAATGTAGCGAATCACAGCGAGTTGGTCGCAAAGACGGGTTTTATTGCAGTTTTAGTACTTTATTTTCTGTCAAGAGATTCAAATCAGTCGCACGTAAGAAAGTTATTGATGTTATTGATGTTTCCATTGTCCATCTGTCTGTAAAAATCAAATGTCGTGAGATCTTGATAAATAGAGTATCTATCGGAATTCAGGTAGATATTGGGTCACAGATTACTTATAGTGTACGCTACTTATGTTGACAGACACAAGTAGTATACAACATCAATCGAAAGTTGGGAACCTGGCAGAAGGTTGAGATGATAGAATGAGAGAGAACGGTAACGGAGTGTAATTGTTATGGCAATGAAGAAACGATGAAGCTTCTGACAATTGGTAGAGGATTCGCAAATGAAGCACTGAACGTATGGTTTTTATATTTGATGTTTTTTGTATTGAAATACATTGGTTATCCACACCTGTATTTTCATTCACTAAATACTCTGGTTTCCTGTAATACTTAGCGTATATTTGCATTACAATGTCTTACAAACGCATCACAGAGCCGGAAATACGTCCAGAGATCTAGTAAAACTGAAATTGAGTGTGATGTCTCGTTTAGGTCACAAACTTTATGAGGCAAATGTTGCCCCATTATTCAGGTTTGTTGGTGATTGATCAGATGTAGCAGCTGTCATTATGAGATATGCCACGGAATCTCAATGGTTCAAAGATTTTGCTCTGAACTTAGACACCCACTATTATAACAAAAAACTCTCTTATCAATCGCCTTAACTCAAAGTATAGTACAATATTCAGTGAAACCCCGAGGTGTCGTACGGTGCAGAAAACAGTTTTATATTTGAGGCCGAACATTCGACCTGTTTTCAAACAAAAACGATCAGCTCCATATGCCCGTTAACTCTGGTAAATAAGGAAATGAACAATCGGCGAAACTGAATGTCCTCAAACCAGTGAAATATTCACCCCGTGCAGCCAAATTAGTAGTTGTTAAAAGGTTGATGGATCTTTACATTTATGTGCTGATTTCTTGACAGGTTTAAATAATGCGTTGTTAGATTATTCATATCGACTGTTTTGCAAACTTGATAGTGTCCTGTCACAATTTATACAATCCAGCCTGCACTTACGTGAAGATGAGTGAGATTTCTTTATACAAACCATAAATTATCTGAGGTTCGTGATCGACGACGACGGTCGTAGAGTCGATACTGACAATATCGACGAGATTAGACAAATGCCAGTATCGTAAAATGTTGACAAATTAGGATCATTCTTTTACATGATTGTAAAGTGTGATCGATAAACCAACCCACTGATGAAGACAGGAAATGCCCACCACCACGTCAACTTTCTTTGACCTTGTATGACAAAGTTTTGCTTATTCATTAACTAAATTTTATGTTTATCATGAACAATTAAGTTTATTGACTCATTTTGCCTATCCTCTAGTTACTTTTCGAATGTTATTTCTCTCTTTTCCCTGTTTAATGGACTGTATTAATTGTTTGTTTTGTATATTAAAAGTGATAATCTACGTTTTAGAAACAGATAACGTTTATCAAGCCAAATAGCTTACTTGTTCTGACTTTGGCTAGATTGCTAGATTTCAAGGAGGTGCTACAATTGCGCAAAGTCATCTTAACTACCCACTAAAAACGAACCTCGATCATGATCAGCACCTACAGAACCTTGGTCACACCGTCACATATATTTAGCTGGACCATCTCAGAGAAAACAATTCCTGGTTATCGTCGACAAAGTTTCAAAATGCCCGGAAGTCTTCGTACTGGCCAGTGTGTCTACCAGTGCCACGATGAAAAAACTACAGAAGTGTTCAACCGTTTCGGACCATCATATGCTATTGTTTCAGATAATGGAACACAGTCCACTTCGGCCCGGTTTGGTAAATTCTGCAGAGCAAAATCGCCAATCACGCCAGGCCTCCTTCATACCATCTTCAACTGAATGGTCAGGGAGGTCGCTTTGTTGATTCATTAAAAAAGACTATTCAAAATGGAGAAGCGTAAGAGACTGTAGAAGTGATTCACAAATTTCTATTTTTAAATAGCATTTCAGTATCATATTTTCAGATTTATTAGTTGCACTAAATGGTTTCTTTAAATATTACAAACCTACTTACATATATATTCCTACTTGTTGAGGATTCCACAAGAATGGTGAACCCATGAGATAGATAACAATGTAATGAAGATCTGCCATGGCACCAATCGCTAGGAGTACGATAATTATCATAATTACAATTAAGATTGGATCCAAATGTCCAACACTCTATAGTGCAGTATTTGTTGAAGATTGATGGGAAAAGAAATAAGTGAAAAGTAGACCAAAAGTATAGTTTATATTTTTATTGCAATTTATAACTGTTATTTAATATATCCATTTGTCTGTATCAGTCAACTGATTAATAAAGTTTAATTTTCATTTCATTTCTACCAAAAATGCATTTCTATTTAGTTTTTGATATATTTATATGCAATACCTTCAGAAACTTTACCAGGTATAGAATGAATAAACAAATCAAAATCGATTAAGTTGCATGGGTTTAATTTGCATAGTGTGACGGGCTGTCTAAGCAGCTCGGTTGATTAGTTTTCCGTTGTTTAAGAGAACAAACTAACCTCTTTTTAATTGGAATCACGGATTAATCAATGGTAGACCATCATTGAAAACTTGGGAAGCACTGAACGGCAGTCTTGTCCTGGTAGAGGACTTGTCAACAATGCGCACTCACGAACCCTCACACCGGACTAGAACCCAAGACTTTTAGTCTTGGGCATGATTAATTTAACTCTAGACCACTGAACCAACATCCAACGGTGTTAATGTCAAACTTCAACCAATGCCGATGAGTTCTAGCATATATATAAACTAAATGCTTACAACGGATAGTAGTATTAGATGCAAGAGAAATTCGGCGTGAACACTGAAGATGTTGGTCTGTTTTCTCCTCTATTTATTAATCAGACAAACAAAAAGCAATTACATCTGAAAACATGCATCAGTTACATTCTATAGAAAAAATAGTCCTACAAAATTATATTCCAGTCACTCACCAAACAAATTGAGAAAGTCCTATGACTCTTCGAGTGGAGAGGAGCTTTGTAAGGACATTGCTACTACCCATTGCAGAATATGTGTATATAAGTATTAGAATATCACTAGAATGGGTAATTAACTTGAACCACACTACCTAGTGCAGAAGTATTTTTATTAACCTACACTTTTGGAAGATTTCATGAAAACTAAAAGCTCTGATGAGGTACTAATGAGTTCACTAGTCGAAAAACATGGAAACTATCTTCAACTATGATTCATATGCATATATTCCGATACTTGTATCAAAAATGCATATATTCCAGTGATATAGATACTAGCATATATATGTGCGGTTGTCAGTATACTGTACATGTAATTATAGAAAGCGTAGGCATGTCCACACCTCCCACAAATACATATTGGCATAGAACTTTGCGCTTTCAAGTATACGATACATGCATGTGTAGAATGAATAAACCAAGGCCCCCACACTCCAAAGTATACACATACCCATAGATGAAAACGCTCCAGGCTTCTAAGTTCAGTAGCATTTTCAGTGAATAAATATCAAGTGTTTAACGCAGTATGTAAGTCGTCAAAGACAATGTGCTCACTTCACGCTCTTATCACAAGCTGGTTTAGTGTCGAACAATTTGAATTGGTTTATGGTCTACCCTCCGGCTTCCCCCCTGCCAGATCTTATGGGCATTTTTAAACTAGTCTGTTTAGGCAAACTGAAGGAAAATTTTCTCCAATGCCTCAGTCGTACTCTCAATTCAAGTTGAACTCTCTTTTCATATAATTAATGTTAAGATAGAGTGAGAGATCCGTCCGATCTCTATATTGACTACAAAGTAATTGGTCAGTCCGATCTATGGTTGAAAATAATGATTAGATGAACACTACTAGAGAATGTTTCTCTATATTTTTGGAATAAATAAAACTAAGATGGTATATTACATATGAGTATTTAGTGTAATATTAAATGATTATGATATTGAATTGTTCACAGTAATCAAATACATAGTACTGAATCAGTTCACGATTAGTAAGCGTTCAATTATTCTCTAGCTGTTATTATACTGAGAAGAAAAGTTCAACAATTTCAATAAAAGTACACTTCATTATATTTACTATAATAGACATACTTAAATATGTATTAAGTAGTTAGGTATTAAACTATCTATTAGTCATATACATTTAAAAACAATTTGTTTTTAGGTAAATAGTATCATTAATTAATGAAGTAGACGTTGATATGTAACTAATTACACTTATTGTTATCTATCATATTGACTGTATTAAGAAATGTTCTATTGTCATTATTATTATTATTATTATTATATCAATAATGAAAATGTTTGTATGACGTCATTTAGACTGTAGATAAAATTTCGAAAGTTATTTCAATTTTATTTATTTAAAATTGATTTATGTTGTTGTCATGTCGTTTAAAATTTTATTATTAATAAAATTATTGAAATATTTTTTTTATTATTATTTTTAATTATCAATAATATTGATCATAATCAATGAACTAACTTTAATTCGCATAATTAATTTTTCTTTCCATTCAGGTTGAATTTCAATTGTTTGAACTTCATTACAATCATTGTCTTTATTATTATTATTATTAGTAGTAGTAGAATTTTCTTCTTTATTATCTTCAATATTAATAGGTGATCCATATGTAGTATTGGTTTCCGGGAAAATGCATAAAATTATTAAACTTGGTACAAATAAACTTGCACCTGTGATAATCACAGCGTTGAAACCAAATTGATAGATTAATGTTCCTAATAATAAGTATAAATTTATATATGGCATCAATGAAGAGAATAAAAATTTTGATTGGTCAGTGATAAAAATAAGTAGGGGAATTTTTGAAAACATTGATTTATTTACAAAGATGGATAATGGCTAGCAGTGTAATCCAAGACTCGCGTTTCGTCTTATTTGAACCTCGTCAGCAAGGTGTACCTGCATCCTAAAGTTGATTTTCGCTCCAGGACTCAAGCTTAATACCGCTGGTCTCAACACCATCACGTTATCCATCTGGCTACCGAGTCCTGATAGCCACCTGTTTATGCATCATTGTTTATAAAGCTTGTGACTTATGTCAACATCGAAACAATCCACACAGGATGCACGTATGCTAATAAGAGACTGACCAATCGCAGTCCTAAACAACAATGCGAAGATACAAGTAAACAATACCAAATGAATTCATTGATTTATTTGTTGAGTTTTGTATTACGATAGCCTATGATAATTGACTTACTTATACATTCATTTCCCATTTTGGTTTCAATTAGTAACCATCACCAAAAACATGTTCCTTTTTCAGAAAAGAACTGTAGTCATACTTGTATAATTTATCTTTGCAAATTCCTACGCAAGATTTGAAATTAACTGTGTTATATGTAATGGTAAATTAAGAAATGAACTAGCATTCTGTTTTTTGTTAAGCAAATGTCATTTTTAATTAGAGCGTTTTATTTTTTATCGTTACAACTCAATAAAGTACTATTCATATCTAATGAATGGTGTTAGAATCTTGATGTTTACAGAAGTTTTCTTTCCATTGTTTTTTTTAAAGGAAACGTGTATATTCAACAGACTCTAGACTATAAAGATTTGAAGTATTAAATAAACGAAGAAATTAAGCATTTTGTAACATATAAATAAGGTGAGTATACAAACCTCCGATCGGGCTGCCACTTGATGAACATAGTAAAGCTATAGATTCAAACACAGTAAACCAAATCCATGTATCATGGCTAATCTTTTCTGTTGTAACAGTCAGATCTTTTTTAGCGTGTGAAATTCGTATTATATCAACCACAACTGCTGCTACTTGAGCATAAATTGATAAAAGTCCACCACCGAAGAAAGCCTCAAAAAAGCCAGCAAGGAGTAGTATCCATACATTCAAATTAAATGTTACTATTAAAGCTTTAATTCGAAAAATATAAAATCAAAGAAATTGAATTTACATGCTGATATTGTAGTAAATGAATCATAAAAAATGTAATTATTTGGTAATTTTAATTACTAACACCACCTATTGGATGCATGTATAGTTGTAAATTAAAAGTGGTGATATAAATGAAATTAATAAAATAACACATTATGAAATGTCTCAAAGGATTAAGCAAGGTACTAAGGTTAACTGTTTAGCAAAAATGTCAATCAGTGCACTGTTAAAGATTGGTGATACGTCAAAATACGATTTTTACATTGCCAAATAAACCTTCATATTTGATTTCGAAGATTCAAAATCGGTCGTTTTGTTGATACGTCTACCATGGATATCCAGTTAATTGTGTCTTAAACTCTTCTTTCTATTTGCTTCAAAGTGGTTCATATTGTCCTTATGTCTACCTCCGATTCCCGGCTTCATATGTGCATTGGTATACTCTGTTTTCAAGTTAGTATTTGTCTTGTAATATAGTCTAATAGTTGCCTCATTGTGTGAGGGACAATTTATCTGCAGGTGCAAATTATCCAATTGCATCTAAGTTTTCCACTGTGTGTCGTTCTTTTCGTGAGTTTTGAAGGTCTCATAATCCAGAAAACAGTTAACAGAAAGAGAAAAATCGGAGTAGTCAGCCTTTTCTGATACTAATCTTCATTTGGAATGCATCACCGAGTTTCCGAGAATGTATGACTTTGCAATTCATTCTCTCATAGGCGTTAGTGTTCAAATGCTTTCCTATTATAAAAAAGTTGATACATGGCGATGAGTTTCATTCGATTTAATGTTTAACGATGGTAATCTGTATTGTAATTTGGATAAAATATGATCTGTCTGTATGAAAGCCAGCTCGTTGATCGTAAAGTTAAGTGTATATTAAATCTTTTATTACTTTTAGCAAGACTCTACTTTAAACTTCCATTAATAGACACCAGTGTGATTCTTATGTGGTTTACATATCTACTTAAAGCGTTTTTCTTTGATATCTTGATGGGAAATCTCTTTTTGATTTTGCTTTGTTTTAGCCCTTAAATATTTTTGAACAGAACGTGGAAGAACTTTTGAAGTTGCCTCACTATCCAACTTTAATGTTTCAGTAGGTATGGCGACCAACTTTACAGTTCGCTATTCCGGATTTTTCTTATAACATTGCTTATCTATTTTATTTTTGGTAGGGTTTCACCTGTAGAACGTTTTGTGTATGGTGCCTCGATGGCCATTGGATTCAGCCTCGTAGATCCACTCAAGAGCTCTTCAAAGTGCTCCACCCATCGGTTTTGCTTCTCCTGAACTTCATCGTCCACCTTCTTCGTTTCTGACTGATCGCTCTATTACACCATATTCCCCTGCTAAATTCTGATTCTCTTTGGTTGTCTTATATTTTATTAGTTTGCAGCTTGTTTTGCTGTGGTTGCCAGGTCTTTTGCGTATTTGCGTTTATCTGTTCTGACGTTTGACTGTAATGCTTCTGTATATTCGGCCTATGGCTTCATTTTTTGGCTCCTGTTTGGGTGTTGTTAACTGATATCTTGTTTATTGATCATTGAATCCTTATCAGGCCCTCTATGGCGATCCATTATTTATGCTGGTGTTTTTTGAAACTCATCAGCTCCTGCCATAGTGAAGTAATCAGTTGTCTAACTCTCTCCATTTTCTATTCATGAAGGATTTTTCATGTCCTACTGCTGATAGCTATCGTGAACTCACTAAGCTTGTTACTACCCAAAAGAAAGTATGTACTGAGCATTTGAATTTCTGGTTTTCCAGCCATTATTTAGTTTGAAATTCATCTCGGCCAACACGAAGTAATAATCTGAAGTTATGACGGGTTCTCCCTTTATTTATACGTCTTACATAGAACATACGACTTTTTCGTTGATGCAGATGTGATCAGTCTGGTTTTCCGTAGTGTGTTTTGGTGAAATCCATGTGACATGTGGATGAATTCGTGATGAAAAATGCTAACACTTGTATCAATGTTGTTAAATGTGCACCGATCTGTCATTTTTTTGCCATTCTTCTTTTTTTCAGTGGACATCAGACTCATCGTATCTTTACAACGGGTGTTGCCCATACCGACTATTACGTTCAAGTTCCTTATTAGAATGAATACGTCTTTCCCCAATCACATCTCTAGATTGGTACTGCTTCTCAATTATCTGGTCCTTATCATCTTCTGTCCCATCGCTGGTGATTCTTTAGCATTGTTACATTCATAGAAATCCTTTCCTTTTTTGCTTCAAAGGTTGTTTTTACGATCCTAAAGCCCTGTGTTTCTGGTCCTATAAAAAGATTTTGTGTTTCTTTGTAAAATATTAGTGCAAGTCCTTGTGTGTAGGATATATAATAACAGCTCTCCTGAATTTAACCTTCTTATACAGATTGTATACATTGTGTTTCACGTATTCACTGCTATTTAAACTACTTTTCCACTCTCCAACACAGTCATGAAATTCTATATATCTCTATTAGTCGTTAATCCAGCTGTCAAAAGGGGCATTGAGTTAAATGGCTTCCTAAGAATCTAGGCTTTCCTCGTGAACCATCATAACCTTTCAAGATGAAGATCAGTTAACTCCCTTTGAAGAGTTCAATTAGTTTAAACAATTTTTTTGCTAATCGTTTTTGTAGTGAGATTCGTTTTTACGAGGCTGGGTTGCTAATCCTCCTTTACCCAGTCTTGGGAAAGGTAATAACCATAGAGCGAATAAGAATATATTTGTACATAAATACAGGCCTCTGGTAACATAAACTAATTTCCTAGGCTGTTTGGAAGTAACTGAAAAAGATATCGATTGTATGTAATTCGGAAATCTCCAGATGTTTTTATTGAACGGGATTGGGGATGAAATATTGATCATCGTCAAATAATATTCCCAACACCACTAATGTATAAATACATTGAAATAATAGTTAGATATAAAAGTACTTTAGTGGGCTGGAGTGTGCACTAAGAACATGAATTATCCCTTCATGTGTTAAATTCAAATAACAATGAAACACATCAGTATTTCGCATGATGATATAATTGGTGAAGTGGACAGAAATAGAATAAATAGATTATTTTTATTTATAAGAATGTTTTGAGATAGAAGAATCTGATCATATAAAAATATATTCATCTTTGACTAAATATCACTAGATACTGCTGAATTATTTAACTTCTATAGCTTATGAAGGCAGAAGAGAAAAAATATTCTCAGAATAAACAAAGTTAAACTCGTAACATTTCTTATAATTCCACTTTTCCTTCTCTCTTACATATGCGTATTGTGTGATCATAGAGTCCCTCCTACATTCATTCATATTACATTAAGATAATTCCCAATTCTTCTAGTGTAAGTCATTTACTTAAAAACCAAATATCCTTACTATCACGATAAGACGTTAGCTATTTGATAAACTAACTTATTCAGTTGAAAACGTTTTGTAAGGACAGTATATTATCAAATTTTAATTTAAAATTTATTCCGGAGAAGAGCATTTACATTTACATAACAGTATGTTCATATAGTTCAGTGATAAATGATCAGTAGAATGTTGAATTTTGTAGATTGTAGTGGTTTTAATAGTTAAATTCATGAGTCTCATACTAAGACGAAATAGCCGTCTAGTGCTTCCAAAGTTTCAATGGTGGTCTAGTTTACATCAACTGATGAATTCAACTATAAATGATCATATCAAATCTTTGTAAAAATATTACTATGTAAAAAACGATGCGCCACTTAAAAGCATCGATTATTAATATCTAATGAAAGTTAATAATACATTTAGAAGATGCTAATCATCAGTCTGTCAAAAAAGTTAAATCAAACATTATGATCAGTAGAGATCAAAAACGAATTAATGACTTACATACTGTTGTTATATGTAAAAATTCTCCAAAGAGTAGAATACCTATAGCAACACGACGACCACGTCTATCTGATATGTAGCCAATTATTAACATTGAAATTAAGCCTAATGTTATTCTGACTGCATTTGTAGTAGACTCTAGTGTAGCAGCTTTCTTTTGTGCAGCTCTTAGTTTTATTTTATCATCAACTGATCTGACATAGAAAAAAACATTGATTGTTAACCAGTTGTTTGATAAAATGATAGTATTCATTTAAAAAACATAGTTATTCAGCTCATTCTTTAAGAATATTGAAAATTATTTGTCGTCTAAGAGTATGCATTTAATTTTGTTATTTAATAGCGGGCACATTTCGGATATCTTATACATACGTAAACGTGTTAGTTTAATAGCCAGAAAATTATATTTCCCCTGATGGATCCAGTGTATACTTGGAGCGAAGAAAGTAAGTTCAATCATGATTAAAAATAAACCCAAAGCTTTTATAACTGTATGAGTTCGAGTAATTCATAAGGTCTCCTGTATGAAAAAGGTAGTTTGTTCTAAAATATTAATTCCTGGATTACGCAATCATTTTAGAAAGGATAAACTGGATGATCACTTTTAACTAGATTTGGATATTGATTGGTATGTTTAGAGTGAATACCTTTTTATTACCCTTACGTACAGAGTAAATTACTGTATCATTTTCTCAGGTAATGAAAAAACAGTATGGTGATTTTTATTCATTTACTAAAATTTTAATATATGGGCTACACGGCACATCGGACTTTATCAATCCAATATGAATAAAAAGGTTTCACATCTAGTGAATAATTGTTTGGTATGTGCTTAATGATATAATATGGATCGCATAATACACAGAGTGGTTTGATATAATTTAATGAATGGATCTAGTGATTATTTCATTCAGGAAGGCAAATTTCACCACAATCAGTCCTATAATTTCCGTTCATCAGCTTTCTAGTGATTCTGGATCATAAACAGCAAAGTCTGTATTTGAACATGTGAATACAAAGAAATGCTTATTCAGGAGATTTTTTTATTAGAAAAATCTCACTGTGAATTTCCTATCAACTTGTAAATAAAGCAGTCATTTACTGACAATAGTCATACGAAAAATGAACTTGAAACTTCTGTATTAGACTATTTTTCACTTTATATTAAAAGTATGGGTCATTAAATGATGTAACTACCTGCTTTTATATAACAAAGGAGATTTAAGTGTTATATCCGCTATTTGATTAACGCAGATTACGGTATACGACTGCGAGACTTGAAAGTATAAGATCTCACAATGGTAAATCAGAAGACAAAAGAAAGATAGAATAGTGTTTGTTGGGTAAGAATTGAAATTTACAGAAAAACATGGTTACTTATAGATATTACCGTTTGTTATATCAACATTATAATTAAGCCAATTCGCAAAGTGGCAAGTTATGCTACTCTCCAATAGTAACATGCTACGTTAATAGTCAAGAAAGCTTCATCACTTTCTCATTGGATTGAAACTCTTCAACTCCTCAAAGGCCTTCAAAACCTTCATATATATATATATATATATATATATATATATATATATATATATATATATATATATATATATATATATATATATATATGAAATACCTTAACTGATAAGTCATAAATAAATTGATGCAAATTAATCCATACCATTTTCTTTCGATTCATCAAATAAAATCTATACTATTCCTACTGTTTACAAATGCGACTCTGTTAAGTAAAATCAGTCAAGTGGTAAATATTCACTAGAAATTTTCATTTGTTTTTAAAAACAAAAACATTTTCAATAAAAAAATTCTTATTGATTGATTGACTTACAGATTTGCATATTTATGTCTTTCTTGACGTGTTAAATATGGTAGACCTTGTTCCGTCACAGCACTTCAATTAAAACAAATTACAAGTTAATTGATATTATTAAATAGTTTAATATTTTTGATAATATGGATATATTTCTATTGAAAACTTGTAGAGTAGTCAATATCCTAAATATTCCAAAATAAATGAAACTATCCATATTAGAAAAGATGAATAGTGGCTAGCAGTGGGATATAGAATGCACGTTTCTTCCTATTTCGGATTCGTCAGCTGAATGTACTTACATCCAAGAGTTATTGTTCAATCTGGGATACTGGTACATCAAGCTGAGAAGTCCTAAATAAAATTAAATACGCATCCTGAATTCCACTACTAGCCACTATCCATCTTTGCTTATAAAGCTTGTGACCTAAGACAATATCGAGGCAGTCCACACAGGATGCACATATTCCAACAAGAGACTGACCAATTTCAGTCCTAAACAATAATGAGTAGATACAAACAAATAGCACTAAATGAATGAAACTATCCATAGTTCAAACATTAAACGATCTATCATTTATTCAAGTTAATTTAATGATTATTATATCAGTGGATAAAAGCAAAACTATATTGTAATTAAAATGTAGGTTGGTATTTTCAGCTTCCAGTTTATCTTTTTTTATACATAATATTCATTTGCTAATTTCATTATAAAAATATGTGTGAAGAATTCACATACCATGATCCGTAGTCTACTATTATAAAGTATTAGATTACTTTTTAATCAAGCTGTTGTGATACTCTGTAAAGTGTATGCAACTGTCCTCTTTCAAAGTATTTAGGATAGATCGTATCCATATTTTATAGTTTAGAGCATTAAAATGTTATAAAATAGACTTGTAATCAAATAAGCCAAATGTTTACCAACTTTCTTGACTTAAATAAAGATAAGTAATGAATTTCACAATACATTTGTATGGATGATATTTAAAAGGTGGAAAATTAATGATATTATTAGTTCATGTGCGTTATATATCTCTGTAACATGCACCTTTTCGATGAGGTATTCACTGTTGGCCTATTATAGATATCACCTATACATCTAATGAGGATATGATATTCTTACTGATCTAGTTCACTTTTAGCATTAACTTTAATAAACTATTATTTTCTATGTCATTCCAGAATTAATATTGTTTTTATCAATTCTATATCTAAATTAAGTTATTCTTCTCTAAATTACATGTTTACCCTGAACAGCTGTGCTTTTTTGTTCCATTTTGTCGGTCTACTGGTTCAAAATTCCTAATAATTTCTGGTCATTCAGCACTGATTTGATTAAATGGTCGAATTTGGTTTTATGATGAAAACTTAAGGTCTGGAATTTATTCATAAGTTTATTAATCATATGAAAACCCGACTTGTATAAAAATGAATAGTATTTGAAGCCTGAGTTCATATAACTTGGAAGAGGAGTGAACGACGATTGAGGGTGCATAGTTTATATTTAGTTATATATGTGAGACTCACCTAACAAGGAATTGAATTTAAACATATTGCTTAAAGCTAAAATAATTCAGAAGCTTATTACCAGCTAATTTTAGATAAAAATCGATTCGTCTACATGATACAATGTTTAAGTCTTATAGCATGTTATTGAAGTTAATCCGGATCTATGAATGTATGTGAAACAAAGGCAATAAGTGAAATATGGAAAATTGTCGGGAAAAATATGATTTTAATTTACTTGTAAAATACATATTGATCCGATGTGAAAAGACAAAGTTCAATTGATAGATATAATGTGACTGTCATAAGCATAAGAAGCGTGATATATTTACATTTCGTGTTAACACAACCTGTATCAGGCCTTTTGTCATCCATGACAAAAGAAAGAATATATACTGTGAAACTATCAATGTTCTTGTTTTGATGATGAACAAGATGAGTTTATCTGCAGAATGATTAAACTTATCTCGAGATATCTCGTATTGTTCAGATTGTTTTCTAAAATATAAGAAACCGATTGCATAAATGTAATTAGAAGAGATAAACGAGTTTTCTACATTAAGTTTATTTATTCATCAAATTCGATGCAAATATGAATGTGTTAATCACAAAAAGTAGAGCGAAATGGAATAAAGTATACTTTTATTAGAATGTAGCGGTTATAGAATGATTTCCTTAATTCTCAATCAATATAGTACTATAATTGGAAACCTAACTTTTTTTCTTTATATTTAAGGTAACATGATGACTGATAAAAGTATGAATGCTAAGTATAAGTAACAAATGATCTCAGCCAGGTTAGATCAAAGTTATGACAAATCATTTTGTTGCTTCATTTCGATTATAATAATGAAATCAATACACTTGAATATACATGAAAATATATCATTTTCACTACAAAAAATTATTTTAAGTCATATAAGAATAACTTTTAGAACCTTATAAGATTGACTGATAGAATTTCAACTATACATTACACACAGAGGATCCTAAGTAATTGTCAGATCACTATTTCAAAAGTACTTTCATTGACTGAATTATTTTTCCTTTCTAATAATTCTAGTGATGTCACCGTCGTTGATGTAATTCACTGCTTAATATTAAGTATGTAGCATAAATAATCTCTATCAATTTATAAATACATAATCAACTGATACCTTGTTCAGAGGAATTAACTTCCGGTCAACTTTACAAAATAAATTTTCTTTTAACAATTCAGTGTTTGTATTATTCAGAGGTTTATAAAACTGTTTTTATAAATCATAACAACGACTTACCATATTGTGTAATAAAAATTATGTCACAATAAAATCTTATATTTAGAATTTAAGTAGATGAGCAGATTGAGTAGTTTTTCATTGGTTAAATCGACAACTCATTTACTGGTGATAATCAATAAGCTCTTAAATAGCTTAAAAATACAATTCGTACCAATGAACAAGATTTATTATTATACGGTTAAGAAGAGTGATGAGTTTAGATTGATATACTATGAATGAAATAAACATAAGACCATCATTGAAACGTTTAAAGCATTGGAAAGCAGTTTGTCTTAATATGAGATCCCTCAACACTGCACAACTACGATCTCATTCGCGGCATATAGTAAATATTTCGAAACTGGATTATTAAAATGAACTGTTTAGGAGTTAGTAGTATATGGTTTAGTAAAAATTTTCATGAAATACATCAATAATTAACTTACTTCCTAAAATATCTTACAATACAGAATTAAACAAAGTGATAAATGGGCATCATATGCTACTGCATTATTTCAAGTTTTTATTATGCTTAAAAATGCCAACAGTATCTAGTAAAAAAAAGACGTTTTACCATGTTGACTTGGATATACGAACAAATGGAGTATTCAGAAAGTTTTTCTAATCGGATTTTTAGGCATGTAGATGTTGTGTTTCATGTCATTTCTATTCTTTTATCATAAAACAACAAACAAATTATTGGGAAATAAATGCTTCAAATAAAGAATTCGCAAAAATCCTTTAATATTTGACACGAAACAGTCTGGTTGTTTTACAAATGATCAAGAAAAAGTAGTAAAAGACAATATAGAATAATAAGTTCAGTATGTATGTATTAAGTGTTGCGAAAATCATATAGTCTGTTTATATAAGAGTGTGATAAAGCATTTTGTATTATAAAAACAAAGGAAAGTAAAATAAGTCAGTTATAAAATTTCCGCTAACGGGATATAACAAAGTTTTTATTATGGAAGCTTTAAATCACTAACATCAACCTATTCCAGCAGGATAGTTAGATTTTTTTGATGCCTTACACAAGAATTAGCATATTGAGATTCAAATGTATTAGGTGAAGGACAATTCAAAATGCCATATCAATGAATTTGCACTAAGAACTTATTGGTTACAAAGCAGTTAGAACGACAATAAACTGGTGTACATAAAATATGTTGAGGATTTAATCCCATTTCATATTTAAGATATGAGGATTTGCGAATTGAAAATTCAACTGTTGGCTAAGTCAACATAATTTTTATTAAATATTTCGATGACATTCCAAAACAAACTGAGAACATTCCATATAAGGGAACACATTATTTATTACAGATGGTTATATAAAATTGCTAATAACGCATAAAACACTAGTTAGGAAACACAAATGTTTAAGAAGTATGATTGATAAGACAGAATTGTTTATGCTTCTCCGATTAATGACATCCTTGAGGAGTTTTTTTCAATACAACCAATGTACCGTATTATCCTGTCCATCTGTTAATCAGACGAAAACTACATTTCCAAACACTTCATTAACAAGTATCGTGTAGTTTCTCCTTACAACTTGTTATTACTCACATATTTCTTATACTGCGCTTCTCAACGTCTCCATCAAACTATGTCCTGGGTAATCCTTTCCAGTGTTTTCAGTTGCTATTCGTCCTATTCATGTCTGCTTTCATTTCCCGACGTTGTGTGTTATTCGGCCGTCATCTTTTCTGTTTCCCTTGAGGATTACAAGTTAGCGTTTGCCTTGTGATGTGGTTTGGTGATTTCCTCGACGTACATCCCATCCACCATCAACGTCTCTTCCTAATTTCAACTTCAGCTGGAATCTGGTTTGTTTTCTCTCAGAGAAGGTTGTTGCTAATGGTATCCGGCCAACAAACATTCAGTTTCTTACGTATAGATCTGTTTATAAGTACTTGAACGTTTTTGGTTATGTTAGTAGTAGTTCTCCAAGTTTGAGGTACGTACAGTAGAATTGTTTTCACGTTTATAGTGAATATTCTGAATTTGGTGTTGGTTGACAGACAGTTATTAAGAGTTCCATATGTACTTTAATTATAGGAATGCGGCCCTTGCATGGAAAATCCTCGCAGTTATGTTTGCATTATACCCTGAGCGTTCATCGATGATGCTGCCCAGGTACATGAAATTTTCCACCTGTTCCAGAGTTCTTCCATCAAATGTAATTGGGCTGGTGTTCTTCGTATTGCTTCTTAGTTTGTGTTCAGTAATATTCTCCCGTCCACGCTGTCAAATATTTTCCCAAAGTTAAGAAAGTTTACCTTGAAAAAATTTCGGAATGTTTCCATTCACAAGATAGTTTATACATAAATTTATTACATGTTCCTTCATTAGAATTTAATTCTATTATTTCAAATATAATTAATAATATTGAATTTCATTAAAGGATTTCACGGATCCCATTACCTGTCGTACAAGTACTTATTTACATTCCTTACTATGTAACTGAAAATTATGTTAGACTTCTAACTAAACATCGACCCTACAACCATATATTTCAGTTTATTTTCTTATTAGGATCAGTCTTTTAAGATTTATCGCCTTATCCATATTATTTATTAACTGATCAGTAAAGTATTTACAATTGCTTTTATAAACTCTTGAATTTGTAATATTAACAAGCAAGTCAATAATTAATGAGTACGTTTTATATTTATACATATATATATCAGTGTAGAGATACAATTACATCGAATTCAAGAAATCGCTTTGCTATTAATATTCTGTTTACCCGAAACGAATAAAAACAAAAGGAAACCAAGTGTTGTACAGGACGAAGAACCTTTTGATAAAGTAAACAGTAATGAAGATACTCGTAGTATACAAATAGAATTCAAAAAGACGTTAAAAAGTAGAGTTACAGATGCATTTCAAGTTATTCGATTTACTCTTATTTTCTCGGCTATTATGTTTCTCGTCTTTTCTTAGAATATCATTACAATAACATTTCTATGGTGTTTTAAAGATAAAATGTATGGCCATTGAGAAATGGTAACGTCATATATTGCTGATCATATGGGTTAGCAAGATATCCATACACAATATTATGAGCATTCCCTCAACGTATTTCATTAGGATATTTCTACACTTGTGAACACATTAGGTATTTTATTGAATAGTGCTTGCGATATGTTGATGAAAGTGAATTCTCATCAGTGGTTTAAGATTAGTTGAAGTTGAAAACTGAATACACCGTGGTCTGATAGATGGAGAATAATGGAGAGTTTCAAACTAGGCGATAATAGCCAACAGTTCCGTCTTCAATTCAACCAAACAACAAACGATATTCACCATCACTCACTAGATGGAACAAGTGACTCTAGTTGAGTTATATCAGAACGTGAATGCAGTTTTCACCTCAAGTGTGGTTGCGTGCATCCACCTGTGTGAAGTCACATACTAGAACGATAGAGTATTCCATTGTCCATTTAGCTCCATTTCCCTTATCGGTTGGTGTCAACGTTCCATGGAAAAATAGTTTAACCGAACTCGATAAAGGCGACAATTGGTAAATAATTTGTCATACTTCACTAATCGGTCCGTGATATACTCGAGGAAGGATCATTTCATGTTTACAAGACAACTGCCTGGATAGATGAATCAGTAGATTATCTCGCGGTGTAAGCCGTAGAATGATAATAACTGAAACAGAAATCGCAATCATAATAACCATTGTGATTACTTCTTAAAACTATTTTCAAATGTTTCTGTGTCACTCATGTCATATCACGCAAAACTGATTACCATGAGTTGCATAATACATCAGAACTTTAGTGACCCTTCATCTTAATCTGTTTATCAATAAATTACTGAATCAACAAAATCATTCGAAGCATGTAAACAGAAAGCAGATAAGTTACCATCTTCATCATGATCATTTGATAAAGGTCAATAGATTTCAAAAGAAAAGTCATGTCTGTTTTGAACATAAACAACTAGTGACATTTTCATCGGAAATCAAATTAGAATGATGTTCTCACTTATCTGGATATGAACATCATGCAATAAATAATCAATTAATTATGAAATCTAAAAACTCTCACACAGTAGTCAAATCGAAATTCAATGGATTACAACACTCAAAGCGTTGGTGTTTCATGCTCTATACTCAACAAACACAAAACTTGATTGTCAATTCTACTGATTTGCTGACACCGATCGAATAACTGAGTCGAATAGACTAATCGGTCGGTCTTTTACATGGCTCTGTTGTTAACACTATTTCACAGTCAGTCGAAGTAAATATTTATCATATATTGTCAGTAGACTTTAAAAAATAGGCCTGACAACATTGTCAATGAATATTTCTGTTAATTGCAGAGATTTTTCCTGGTTAGACAACTATTGAAACCGATAATCATCACAAGAGGTCTGCTTCGTCCAATTATGGGGGACCTCAACTATGTATATTCTCATCGCTTCTAAATAGGTATGTAAGGTCCTTCATGTGAATGGTCAAGTGTTTGTGAAAAATATTCGTGTAGAGTCTGAAAATATGGACTTAAAATTACCGAAACTATAGATACACAATAGCTTTCGTTCATAGAATATACAAGTGAGTATTTACTAAGAAACTAACATGACCCTTTTTAAAGTAAAAGACTGGAGAAAGCGATTAAATAAATGAGAATCAGGTGACAACTGCAAGTACAGCAAATGTTCACCAAAATTTATTTTATCAAATCAACATAAAAAATTGGTGATATCTTAGATGAAAGGACTAGCAAATTAAATGAGTTAGGTCAATGAAAAAGTAGGCATCATCAAGTGTATTTATTTCACACGAAGAATATTTGGAAAGGTCCAAAAAACATTGAAGCATAACAGCAAACTGGACATAAAATCAAGTTCACTAGTTTATACAGACAACAGCTTGTAAGTAAGTACAATCACGTCTAATCAACTTTAAGATAGTCTACATGTTGTGACGTGGTCCGATATTCACTGGGTGCTTCAGCCTTATGCAGTTGTAAATATGATGAGAAACGTACGAGAGAAATAAAACGGACGAAAAGCTCCAATAAATCCAACTTCAGTGAGAACAAACAAACGTCAATTGTTCAGAAATCTTAATCTCGTCAAACTTAGTTTAAAAACAAACATTTATTCGATTCGCCTATTTAGCAGTCTTCTCCAGTACGATGTGTTGAGACAAACAAGTAACAAAGACTACGTTATTATTATTAATGACTTTATTAAGGTGAACTGGCGATAAGAACATCATCCTATTGAGTAATGGATAGTGGATAGGATGTACGTCGAGGAAATCACCAAACCACATCATGAGGCAAACGCTAACTTGTAATCCTCAAGGGAAACAGAAAAGATGAAGGCCGAATAACACACTACGTCGGGAAATGAAAGCAGACATGAATAGGACGAATAGCAACTGAAAACACTGGAAAGGATTGCTCAGGACATAGTTTGATGGAGAGTGCTGATGGACAGCCTATGCTACTCTTTGAGGCGTAATAGGGTGTAAGTATATATTCGTGTAAGTATAAATGCACAATTAAAGTTAACCTGATTACATCCATAGGAAGACATTTATGGAGACGTTGAGAAGCGCAGTATAAGGAATATGTGAGTAATAACAAGTTGTAAGGAGAAACTACACGATACTTGTTAATGAAGTGTTTGGAAATGTAGTTTTCGTCTGATTAACAGATGGACAGGATAATACGGTACATTGGTTGTATTGAAAAAAACTCCTCAAGGATGTCATTAATCGGAGAAGCATAAACAATTCTGTCTTATCAATCATACTTCTTAAACATTTGTGTTTCCTAACTAGTGTTTTATGCGTTATTAGCAATTTTATATAACCATCTGTAATAAATAATGTGTTCCCTTATATGGAATGTTCTCAGTTTGTTTTGGAATGTCATCGAAATATTTAATAAAAATTATGTTGACTTAGCCAACAGTTGAATTTTCAATTCGCAAATCCTCATATCTTAAATATGAAATGGGATTAAATCCTCAACATATTTTATGTACACCAGTTTATTGTCGTTCTAACTGCTTTGTAACCAATAAGTTCTTAGTGCAAATTCATTGATATGGCATTTTGAATTGTCCTTCACCTAATACATTTGAATCTCAATATGCTAATTCTTGTGTAAGGCATCAAAAAAATCTAACTATCCTGCTGGAATAGGTTGATGTTAGTGATTTAAAGCTTCCATAATAAAAACTTTGTTATATCCCGTTAGCGGAAATTTTATAACTGACTTATTTTACTTTCCTTTGTTTTTATAATACAAAATGCTTTATCACACTCTTATATAAACAGACTATATGATTTTCGCAACACTTAATACATACATACTGAACTTATTATTCTATATTGTCTTTTACTACTTTTTCTTGATCATTTGTAAAACAACCAGACTGTTTCGTGTCAAATATTAAAGGATTTTTGCGAATTCTTTATTTGAAGCATTTATTTCCCAATAATTTGTTTGTTGTTTTATGATAAAAGAATAGAAATGACATGAAA